CTCTCGTGCTTTCTTAAATCGTTTACCAGCAAAAACGTTTAATTCAACCAATTCATGTAGCTTTAGCAATCATCTATATAAGCATCACAGAGATCTAGTACTCCTTAGGGAGCTCACCCTATTTTTTGCAGCTTTTTCAATGCTTCGATATCAACAAAACTAAAACAGGCATGAACACAAACATGAAAAAAACTATAATCGAGAAGTTAATGTTCCCACTATGCTAAGTGATTTTAGAAATCTGTAAATGGCTAACTAACTCGTGCAATTAACACAAAAAAGGGGCATTCACTGGTGCATGCTTCTCTTTATTAGTGAGCAAATACATTGCATGAGTTTGTTATAATTGAAATAATAAATGAAACCTGACAATGATAACCTCTAAAATACATATAAGAAGAGAGGCTACGTATCTTGCATCTCTTTACTTATCTAATCTTTGGGATACTGGAGGGGGCAAGAACATAGAAGGAATCTTTATCTCAAAAGGAGAGGAAAAAACAATTTAAAAATTGGTAAATCCATTGAATAAAGTCCAACGTAAACATCAAAACGCATGCGGATTAGAAGCTAAATGAACATAGTTACGCGTAATCTATGGGGAGAATTTAATTACCACTTTGTTTCATACTTTAGAGTTTTATGATTCAATGTATACATAGCACGTGGAGCCTCTCCCCACAACCCATTTTCGAAGGAAATAATTAAATGGACGAAGAGACAAATATATAAGAAAGCACATGGCTTTACCATTCCTCTATCAATTACCAACACATTTGACCCTTATCCACATGGGTCTTCCACTCTTATTCTCCATTAATCTACACCAAAATTATAACATATTCCAAGCACAATATACAAAATGCGGTGCAAAACTATAATAGATTGTTCAAAAAAAAAAACTATAATAGACGGTTCGCAATATACAAAAAAAGAAACTTTAAAACTCAAATCTTTGATCAATAATATTCGGTATTTCACTTCTGAATAATTTGATAAGTTCATGATCGAAACATACATCTCCTAATCAAAATTTGAATAAATTTGTTTCAAATAAAATTCGAACTTTGGTTTTTAAACGTTTATTCAATTAGAAACCAGTCATTATAATCATATATTTAGACGTAAATTATATATATGCAATAATGATAAATGTGAAGTTAAACGGCAACATTTACATTTGAATGCGCATTCAACAAATTTTTGGTCTACAAACAAATGTAAATTCTATACGAAAACTATAATTTCGTTTTGTCATTTTATACGAATTAAGAAACAAGTTAAAAGCTTTATTATAGATTTACAAAAAAAAATTTGATTCTTTAAATTATAGTTTATCTGGCCCTTTGTGTTAGTTTTGATTATGAAAAAATTACATCAAAACCTTTTGTTAATGAAAATTTACTTGGCTTCATGTTTTACTAAACCAAAATTTACGTCAAGATTCTCAACCGACATAATTGTAAAAACAAATATTATAAAACAAGACTTTACTATTCAACAAATAGAGTAATGATTACCAACATTCGATATTTTAAAAACTAAGATATGAAAAAGAAGGCTTTATACTCTCACTTTAGAAAAGATGCCAAAATAAAAGAACTTTAAGAAACAGTAAATAAAATGTTATAATAATACAATTTTTTTTTCCCTCTATTTGCTTTATTTCCGGGTCGGCAGATATAGAATTCCAAATTTTTCATTCATCATTTCTATTATTTTTTTTTTTCTGATAATAATTATGTCCTTTGAAAAAGATAGAGAGATGGAGGGTTAAGATGTAGCGTAAGCAAAGTAGGCGGAGGCAAATAAGGAGCGTTGGATTAAAAGAAAAGAAAGAGTCGTGTCCACATGGGCGGCCTAAGCCTTTGTGTCCCACTTCTGTCCCCTTGCCTCTTTCTTGCCTTTATTCCTCCCGACAACTTCTCGCTCTCTTCCTTTAACCCTAACTTCTATGCTAATTCTCTCCCCTCCTTTATATATCTCTCTCTTCCTTTCCTCTAAACCCATCAACCAAACTCACC